GGCCCTCACTGTGCCGGGCCCCCCAGCAGGCCTCGAAAGTGCGACAGTTTCACAGATCGCAGCCCCCCAGGGATGGCGAGGTCTAATTTGGGTCCGCCCGTGGCCCTCACTGTGCTGGGCCCCCCAGCAGGCCTCGAAAATGGCGACAGTTTCGCAGATCGCAGCCCCCCAGGGATGGCGAGGTCTAATTTGGGTCCGCCCGTGGCCCTCACTGTGCTGGGCCCCCCAGCAGGCCTCGAAAGTGGCGACAGTTTCACAGATCGCAGCCCCCCGCAGGCAAGACAGGAAGAGGCGGGAGGCGGGAGGCGGGAGAAGGGACGCGACCACACTGCTCTATTCAAAACGAATACCCAACCAAGGAGGGTTGGGAAAACATCAATTTTCGTAAAGCGTTTGTAAATTAAAATTGATAGATTTGGAACTTTGGATTTTTCCTTTCTTCGTCCTCTTCTTATTCTCCTCTTCTTCTTCTTTCTTATTATTCTTCTACTGTATTATTCTTCTTTTATATTTCTCTCTGTCCCCACGCTCGCCTGAACTTTTTTATCTCTGGGGGTGATTATCCATGGAAATTGAGGCACATGAGCTACCCTACACGAGCACTTACAACAAATTACCCTGGCGACGTACCCAACCCCTGCGCAAAAGCGGGGCGCAAATAGTTTAGGATACTATATAAGGGGGCGATGACGGAGCGAGGGTTACATATGTCTGCAGACGGAATTCGGGAGACTCGCAGGACACTGGCTACAGGAAAAGGGCTTGATAAAGCTGATGATTTACAATTCCTGAGCACTCCTAGCCACTTCGAAAACGGGGATCACAGCAGGCCTCGAAAGTGGCGACAGGTTCACAGATCGCAGCCCCCCAGGGATGGCGAGGTCTAATTTGAATCTGCCCGTGGCCCTCACTGTGCTGGGCCCCCCAGCAGGCCTCGAAAATGGCGACAGTTTCGCAGATCGCAGCCCCCCAGGGATGGCGAGGTCTAATTTGAATCCGCGCGTGGCCCTCACTGTGCTGGGCCCCCCAGCAGGCCTCGAAAATGGCGACAGTTTCGCAGATCGCAGCCCCCCAGGGATGGCGAGGTCTAATTTGAATCCGCGCGTGGCCCTCACTGTGCTGGGCCCCCCAGCAGGCCTCGAAAATGGCGACAGTTTCGCACAGGGATGGCGAGGTCTAATTTGAATCCGCGCGTGGCCCTCACTGTGCTGGGCCCCCCAGCAGGCCTCGAAAATGGCGACAGTTTCGCAGATCGCAGCCCCCCAGGGATGGCGAGGTCTAATTTGAATCCGCGCGTGGCCCTCACTGTGCTGGGCCCCCCAGCAGGCCTCGAAAATGGCGACAGTTTCGCAGATCGCAGCCCCCCAGGGATGGCGAGGTCTAATTTGAATCCGCGCGTGGCCCTCACTGTGCTGGGCCCCCCAGCAGGCCTCGAAAATGGCGACAGTTTCGCAGATCGCAGCCCCCCAGGGATGGCGAGGTCTAATTTGAATCCGCGCGTGGCCCTCACTGTGCTGGGCCCCCCAGCAGGCCTCGAAAATGGCGACAGTTTCGCAGATCGCAGCCCCCCAGGGATGGCGAGGTCTAATTTGAATCCGCGCGTGGCCCTCACTGTGCTGGGCCCCCCAGCAGGCCTCGAAAATGGCGACAGTTTCGCAGATCGCAGCCCCCCAGGGATGGCGAGGTCTAATTTGAATCCGCCCGTGGCCCTCACTGTGCTGGGCCCCCCAGCAGGCCTCGAAAATGGCGACAGTTTCGCAGATCGCAGCCCCCCAGGGATGGCGAGGTCTAATTTGAATCCGCCCGTGGCCCTCACTGTGCTGGGCCCCCCAGCAGGCCTCGAAAATGGCGACAGTTTCGCAGATCGCAGCCCCCCGCAGGCAAGACAGGAAAAGGCGGGAGGCGGGAGAAGGGACGCGACCACACTGCTCTATTCAAAACGAATACCCAACCAAGGAGGGTTGGGAACAATTTTCATGAGAGATAAGCCATTGTTGAGGATATTTCTATGAAAACTAAACGCAAAGGATGTCTCAAAACGTGCTCGGCTTGGTCTCCTCTTGATCATCTCTTACTTCGAGATTATGCTGAGGTCTGCTGGGCTACTTTTATTATCTCTCCCTGAACCCCGAACTTTATTATCCCCTAGTGTTTATTCTCACGGGCATGAGGTTAAATGCAATGGGCCTCCTGCGGGTTCTCGCCGTGTTAGGCGCCGAGGCAAGATGCTAAGATCACGGTAAAGCTTAGGATGCTGATATTAGTATGCGTAAGGCATGCTCAGAGGGACTGCGTTGTTTCGAAGAAGCCTTCCTCGCCTCCGTTTTCACGTTGACCGTTTTTCTAGATCCGCAAAAAGATCCGCGCTCCTCCCAGCCTTCTGGGGCACCTGCGAATCCGAGTGGTTTGCGCCTCGAGGCTCATGGGAGACGTTAACATACTAGTGAGCTGCCTTGCTCTTCCCCTGGGAACATCGAGTTGATACACTCGTTACGCACCTCCAGTCCCATTTCGGCACGCAAGAGTACAAATGATCTGCGGTTCCAGGCTCCTGGAGCACATAACAAAATACGTGAGGGCTGCATCACAACTCCTGGGGCACATCAAACTACGTGTGATCCGTGCCCCGTGGGCTACGAAAGTATCGTTCGGCATACCCTTCACACATTTCCTGCCTGGCATGACCCTGGGGGCACATACAAATACAAGTGGTTTGCCCTCGCAGGGCCACGAAAGCCTGAATCCTGCACACCCAAGAGGCCGACGAACCCTCCCACGGGACGCTAACATGGCCCCAAGAAACATTGCAACGATTGGTACAGTCCCTCGCCGTGGCAGTATCCCTAACACCCAATGTTCTAATGTTTGTGACATCTGGGTGCAAACTCCCCCCTGGGTGCCCGCCATCACTCCCGCTCTGCAGGCTCAATGAATACAGCATCAGCGGCGAGATGAGAAATGTACTCATCCTGTCTAATCGTGGAGGGGGGAGGGGGGAGGAGGGGGGAGGGGGGAGGGGGGCCGAGGAAGGGAGGAGGGGGGAGTGTATGCTCTAACCCTGGTCCCGTCTGCCCCCTGTCCGTTCTCCACTTCCAATGTGGTCCTCCGCCCGCCCAAACATTTCCCTTAGCGCATCCCGTCCCCCTTTGCGTCTCCGTTGGGCACTCCATCCCTCTTGCACTACTCCTCGCTCCCTGCCTCTCTCCACATATGACTTCCCCCCTCCTTCCCCCCCATCCCCGCCCAATCCTCACCCGCTCCTGGCATATGACCTCATCCCTCCCTCTCGCTCTCCTTCCCTGTCTCCAAACTCCCTACCTGCCTGCATACACCCTCATGCCCATCCGCCCGTCCTCCTTCCTTCCCTTCTTTCCTCCACAGGGCGAGGGGGTCTGAGCGCTGCGCGTGCGCATCATCCTGCGATGTGCACGAGCTCCGAACCCTGCCGGCGCAAGGCCAATACAAGAACACAAGGCAACGGATGGATGCGACCACACTGGTCGGCAACGGAAATGCTCAGCAAAACGAAACTTCCCCAGAGAAGAGAGAGAGCGAGAGAGAGAGACGGACATTGAGAGATACCAGCGCAGAGAGAGAGAGAGAGAGAAAGACAGAGAATGAGAGAGAGAGAGAGCGAGAGAGATCGGGAGACATAAGACTCGGGTGCGGGAGACTCGGGTTGGCCTGATGGAGCCATCATAAAAATGACGAAACCCCATCTGAAATTTGACGCGAGCTCCCGCTGCAGACATCCCACGGAAACCGGAACGTCGGAATCCAAGACGCGTTCGTAACAAAAAACGTCAGCAAACCCGAGTCCCGGATTACTCGAGTTGCACGTTCCCCCGAAGAGAGAGAGAGAGAGAGAGAGTGAGAAAGAGAAAGAGAGAGCGTGAGAGAGAGAGAGAGAGGGCGTGTGCGAGAGAGAGGGGAGAGAAAGGCTGGCTGGTGGCCCGGCGGCAGACTGCGGGTCCCGCGGGGGCGGGGCTTCGCAGAGCGCCCACTTGGCCGCAGCCTCGTGGACGGCCTCCAGGCGCTACATCACTCCAGCGCCCCGCCGAGGGAGGCGGGGATGGGCCACGGGAGGGAGGGAGACCCCCACCTGCTGGGGCACAGCCTTCTCGCCTCTCTCGACGGCACGGCGCTGGGCACGATGGGGCCCAAAGCAGGGCGCAAACGCAACTCCCCCTCGGGCCTTCCCACCAAACCCGTGCGACCTGCCGCAACAGGCCGCCAGGAGGCGGTGAGCGCGGGATCCGCCCGGGGGGGGGGGGGATCTCCCGGGAGAGGGGCCTGCCACGGCAGACCTCCCTCCAGCGAGAGAAGACCAGGAGGAAGAGAGAGAGAGAGAGAGAGAGAGAGACCGCCTGCCCTCCCCCCCCCCCCGGAGCCTCCCAGGACCACGGTGCGGCGGAGGAGGAGATTGAGGAGAGCGGGAAGGGGGGCGAGGAGGAGGGGGACGGGGGCGATCACGACGCCGAAGACAGCGGCGAGCGACGGCGACGGGACAACGGCGACGACGCGGGGAAGAGGGGAAGGCAGAGAGAGAGCGAGGGAACGAGGGAGTGAGAGCGACAGATCGAGGGAGGGAGGAAATTCCGCTGTGAGTCCGGCCGCCGTGAGGTAACCCGGAGGGGAGGTGAACGACGGCGCACTCAACCACTGAGGTTGCCAGACGGCCGACGCTGCCCTCTTCGTTCCCATGCTCCTCCTACCCATTCACAGGTCGATGCTCGCTGCTGAAACTCCCCTTCTCCTTCGCCTCTATTCCACGAGGGAGAACGACTGGGGGGCGGAGTGGCTCACAGAAGGAAGCGTCGACCTGAAATTGGAGACACATCGATGTCTGGGATTGGCCCCCGATAGGAAGTCCGCACGCTCCTGGGCGGGAGGGGCGGCCAGGCCCCGGTCGGCGCTCGACGGGCGACTATGGGGGCCCATGCGCTCCCCCCTGGGCCCGCCTCCCCCTGACGCTGCCCCCGACTCCGCCCCCCCTCTTTTCTCTCGGCGCCCTCGCTGCATCGCAGCCCCTCTGAATTGAGCGTTCCCGCGCCGGGCATCATGGCAGCCGGCCGGCCCCGCGCCACGGAGTCCCGGCCCTGCTGGGCGTGGCGGCGGGGCCGCCGTGCCAGGGAGTGCGGCCCCGGGCGGGCGTGGGCCCGCGCGGAGACGGGCCCCTGCTGGGGGTCCGCGGCTGGCGCGGGGATCCGAGCTTGCTGGGCGTGGGGGGCGGCGTCACGCGGCGGCGGCGCAGGAGGTCCTCGAGATTGCGCTTGCTCACACGGTCTGGTATCCCAAGGCCCCCTCGGAACATAAAAAAAACACGGCGGGAAATCGGCGCCATGCTCGGCCTCTGGGGGGCCTTGGCCGGGCCTCGGGGCCGTGAAAACACGACTCAGGATGGCGAGCCGGTCCCGCGGAAAGGGTCAAGACCTCTCGGGGTCGACGTTCTGAAAAAAATGTGACGTCGGGAATCTGGGACGGTCGTTACCTGGGGGGAGGGGGGGGCGGGTAACTGATTCTCACCGCCAGACCCCCGAAATGTCTTATCCCCCGGTGATTCGTATCGCTCGCACTCGGTGAATGGTAACGCTTGGGCGGGGTGGGGCACGTCGGGGCGGGAGTGCGCCGCGATCGCCGTAATCTGCGCGCGAGCACCAGCATGTGGGGCGGGGGGGTCTAGGCCCCCACCCTACATACGATCGTTACCATTACCCCGGGGGGGGCGGCGATTGACGACCGTTGCGCGAGATAGAATAACAAACAATATCCTCGCGCGACTGGTCGCGAGAATCCCTCGCAGCGGGCAGCTCGGCAATCTGCCGCTGCTCGCAGGTGCTCCCTGCGGCCGACACGCAGGCCAGGAGGTCCTCCACCTGCTTCTGGCTGTAGCTGCTCGCAGCGTCTGCCTTACGAGCCAAGAGCTCGTCCACCTGACGCTGGTTGTATGTGTCCGCAGCATCCACCTTCCCAGCAAGGCGCTGGTCCACCTGATGTCGACTGTAGACGTCCTCGAAGCTCACCTTCTGAGCCAAGCTCTTGTCGATCTGGGCCTGACTGTAAACATTCGCCACGTCCGCCTTGCCGGCCAAGAGGTCCTCGACGTCCTGCCGACTGAGGGCGTTCGAAGCATGGGCACTGCGAGATATGATTTCGTCTATCTCCTGCCGACTATATACGCTCGCCACATCGGCTTTGCGAGCCAAGAACATGTAGGTGTTCACCGTATCCGCCTTACAGGCCAAGCGCTCGTCCACTTGCTCCCGAGTGTAGACGTCCTCACAGCTCGGTTTGCTAGTTAGGCGTTCGTCGATATGTTGTAGGGTGTGGGTGTTCACAGCGTTCACCTCGTCCACCACGAGCTCCTCCACCTCCTGCTTGTTGTAGGTGTAGGCCAAGTCAGCCTTGCGAGCCAAGAGACAATCCACCTCCTGCTGGTTGTACGAATTCGCAGCGTCTGCCTTGTGGCCCAGGAGCTCTAACACCTGCTTTTGGTCATATGTATTAGTTGCTTCTGCCTTGCCAGCCAAATACTCGTCAATCTGCTGACGCGTGTAGACGTCCTCGCTGTTCGCTTTGACGGCAAAACGCTGATCGATCTGCATCTGACTATAGGTGCTGGCTGCGTCTGCTTTGTGGGACAAGAGGTCATCAACATGCTGTTGGCTGTAAATGTTCGCAATGTCCGCCTTGCGAGCCAGGGCTTCCGCTGTGTCCGCTGCGTCTGCCTTGTGAGCCAACAGCGTCGTCACCTCATGTTGGCTGCAGGTGTGAGCGGCGTCTGCCTTGCCAGTCAAAAGCATGTCCACTTGCTGCTTGGTGTAGGTGTCATTGCTGCTCGCCTTGTGACCCAGAAGCTCGTCGACGTGCTGCTTGCCGTAGGTGTTCGATGCATCCGCCTTGCCGGCCAGGAGCTCGTCCACGTGCCGCCGATCGCACGTGTCCTCGCGGTTGGCTTTGCAAGCCAAGAGTTCGTCGACCTGCTGCTGGTCATAGGTGTTCGCAGAGTCGGCCTTGAGATCCACGAGCCCTTCGAGCCACTCGGCCTTCAGAGCCACGATCCCATCCACCTGCTGCCGGCTGTAGGTCCGCAGTCTCCCCTTGCCTGGGGCACCAGGCTGCGCGACCACAGTTCCCGCGGATGGCAGCATCCCCCGTGCAACTACCGGGCTGGCAAGGAGGAGTTCTGCCGAGCCAGGACGTCTGAACTCCGTCTCTCTAGACGCTGTAAGCTCGGCACGACAAGTTGGGGGTCCCCAGCTGGCGCGGTGACGGGCCGCGCAGGGACCTCGGCATGCCGAGAGACCTCGCCGCGCAGCCCGTCACCGCACCGTTTTGGGGCACGAGGCGCCCCGGCCGCCCGAGACGCCCCCGCGAAGGAGCCGAGCCCTCAGCTCGTGCGGCCGCCCCGGGCCCCCCACGGACTCACTCGCCGCGCGGCGTGGCCACCGCGCCGCGCGGGGGCCCCAGGTCCACGGTAACCATTCCATGATTAAATGGAGGTGCTTCTCCCGGGGCTCGCACGCTGCTTCTACAAGGGAAAACGAGGTGTCACCAAACCCCCAGTTTACAACAACAGCGGTTCCGGCCTGATGCTTCAAGTCGCCCTCTCGCGCGGGACGTCCTGAAAGTTATGCAGGAATCGCGCTCTCGCGCGGGACTTCCTTGCAGTGTAGTCAGACGCCCCCCGGGACAAGATGTTCGTCCTGAGCACGGTGGGGGCATTGGATAAGGAAACATTGGATGAGGAATCCAGGGTCTGGAAGCCAGTGGAACGCTAATCGTGGATTGGCCATGGATATCACCGCCGCCCTCACCAGAGAAGGACCCCTTCCAGGGTCCGAAGCCTCCTGGGCATGTTCCTTAACGAACGCCCCCACCGTAGTTATTTCACAGCTCCAAGGGCCCGCCGAGGGCCCCAGAGGAGGCCCAGAAACGGCGGAGAAGCGCCGGGACCCGCTCCCCTCAGAACCCCGCTCTGGCATGGCGAGGATGGCATCTCGCATCCCCGCGGGCCCGAACCTCCGCGCAGGTACTCGCCCTCTGCCGCGGAGGCTTCGCCAAAGCCCGACGTCCTCCGCCCAGAAACCATGGAAACACGGCTCGGCTTCTCGGGCCACCAGGGGGGCAGGCGGAGACTTGCCGGAGGCGTCCTTGATGGTCGCCGCGTCCGCTTTGGCAAGCAGGCGCTCATCCATCTGCTGCCGAGTGTAGACATCCTCGACGCTCGCCTTGTGGGACAGGAGCTCGTCAACCTGCTGCTGACGGTAGGTGTCGCCTGCGTCTGCCTTACCGGCCAAGAGCTCCAAGACTTGCTGGTGGTTGTACGTGCTCTCGGCTTCCGCCTTGCGAGATAAGAGGTTGTCAATCTGGCATTGACTATAGGTGTCCGCTGCATCTGCCTTGCCAGTCAGGCGCTCATCCGTCTGATGCCGAGTGTAAACATCATCGACGCTCGCTTTGTGAGAGATGAGCTCGTCAACTTGCTGCTGGCGGTAGGTGTCAGCTGCATCTGCCTTGCCAGCCAGACGCTCATCAATCTGATGTCGAGTGTGAACGTCCTCGACATTCGCTTTCTGCGACATGAGGCTGTCAATTTGCTGTTGACGGTAGGTGTCAGCTGCATCTGCCTTGCTAGCCAAGAGCTCCAATATCTGCTGGTGGTTGTAGGTACTCGTGGTGTCAGCCTTGCCATCGAGGCGCTCATTCACCTCATCCTTGGAGTAGGTGGCGTCGCCGCTCGCTTTGCAAGCCAAGAGCTCGTCGATCTTCTGCCGGCTGTAAACGTCCGCGATGCTCGCCTTGTCTGCCAGCTGCTCTTGAAGAAACCGAACCATCTCCTCCAAGTCGGCGACGCGCTGCTCAATGTACCGGGACATCAGAGCCGCAGCTGAACTAGACCACCCGGAACTGCTACAGTCCATGCCAGAGATAAGTAGTCACACGATGCAAGCAATTTCAAGATTGGAACACATCGTCAAGACAATGAAACCGTCGCAATGCGCTATAACACAATCATAAACACGTACATTGCGCGCGGGCATCTTTTCTCGACGTCGGCGTTGTCTGCAAAAGGCGCGAGTAGGGAACACGAGGGTTTGGGCCCCCCGGGGCCTTGGAGGAGCCCCAGATCTGTCCGAAATCGACAGAATTTTTTGCCGGCGAACGACTGGGATTACAAATTCTTATTCCTGGCGCGGCTGTAAGCAGAGAGCACTAAAACTAAAAGAGCGCTCGAACACAACAGCGAAGGCCCTCGAGCCTTGGGCCAACAGGCGCCAGAGGAAAGGATACGGCGCACGGCGGTTGCGACGACGCCCTGGGGCGCTTGACTGTACCTCAAGGGCTCCTCAAGGGGCCGCCAAACCCGAGGCCACCAGTGTGAACGACGAAGAGAAACGGGTCTTACGCGAGATAACATGGCGACCTTACGCCGTACCTTGCGCGGGCCACCAGCGTGGCACACGGCGAGGATACGAGGGGCCCCTACGCGCGAGCTGATGCGGGAAACCAGCGCGGGAATTTCCGCGGAGTCGACCCCGTTGTCTTCCGTCGCTCGTGTGGGGGTCCTCTTGGCTTGAAAGCCGATCGTCGAACCCTGCACCCCCAATCAGAACGGACAGATTCACGACCGCTCGGTGAGACAGCGCCCCAGGCAAAAAGAGCTCCGACCAAGAGGACGTCCTTAGCCGAGCTCTTCCCAGGCAGTGCCACGGGAAGTCACCACCAGAGCGGTCACCACCTCCTCGCGAAGGAGGACCCCTCGGGGACCCTCCAACCCCCCCGAGAGCCTCCCTCAACGCCCAGAATCGCTCAAAAATCTATGAGATCCTTCATCCTCGGACCTCGATCCTGACGAGGAACTGGCGGCCCCCACCGTTTGGCGACCCCCCCGCACTGCCTGGCCTCCGGTGTCCTCGTCCTGACTTCACGAGCCAGGGTGACCAACCAGGCCAGCTCACGCAGCGCACGTATGTACCTCTGATGAGAAACATAAGCCATCGCCACCGAGAACCCATTGGGGGGACCCACCCTGGTGCTGGCACGCCCGAGCATCACCCTGATGCTGGGTGACGCTGGGCGAATCCCCGACTTTTCTGACAAGCCGTGTTTTTTTCGGGCGGGCGGCGTTGGCGGCGCGCACAAAGGGGGTGTAGGGACGGGGGGCAACTTCTGAGAGTGAGGCTGCTCCTTGGAAGGCGCCGGCCCGACGTCTGCAGGCAAGGCCCGCGCCTTCCCAACAAGTGGGCGTGCTTCGAAGAAACTCTCCCCCCCCCCCCCGCCCCCCCCCCTCGGCACCTGGCCGGAAGCGGGGACTTGGGGCGAGAAGCCGCCTGCGACCTGGAGCTGCCCGCTCTGCCCTGCCCTCGTCCTGCGCTCACGGGCTACACCGTCGGACCTGGGGCAGGAGAGCACCCTTTGAGAGCATGAGACCCTTTGAGAGCATGAGGCCCTCGGGCACCCTCCCCCAGGATGCACAAGAGCATCCAGCAAACACGCAGAACCTTGAGGCACCCTCCCCGAGCCGACCTCGGTCCGACCGGAAGAGCGAGCCGTCGGGCCAGCTGGGGCCACGGCGCACGCACCGAGCGCCTGGGCCCACCGCGGAGCGCCGGTCGGCCCACCGGGGCGCGGCTGCCTTGAGATCTGGCGACCCGACGTGTCTCAGGGGCTCAGAGGCACGTGTCCCTTCTGATGAGCAGTGGAAGGGCTCCTAGCCCTGTGGGAGGGGACCTGAACTAGGAGGGCCAAACATGTCAGGGATGGGGGGTCTTTCCGCACAGGTATCGAGCCAAGCCCTTCAGGTCTGTGATTCCTGATACGAATGCGAAGACGGGGACTTCAGAGAGGCCAGGGCTTCACTGTGTCACTAGGGTTAGGGGTTCTGCTATTCTCGATGACCTTCGGCGCTCCATTGTTCGGCTTCCCGGTCGTGAATCGTTCCGTTTTCCGTTTGCCCACCGCGCGCTCTTCTGCCTAAACGCCCTGCTGGAAGTTTTGGCTCTGTGGTGGTGGTGGTGGTGGTGGTGGTGGTGGTGGTGGTGGTGGTGGGCCCCTTCGGCGGCGAAGTCCAAACCCTGCCCTCGCCAATAAACGATTCACCATGGGCGGCGGGGGGTTGGGTTCGGACCTCGTCGAGCACGCTGCGGAATCCGAGCCCCCGCCCCCGCCTCCCATCGGTTCAGGAGAATCGATGGTCGGTGGGGGTGGGGATCGGATGTCGCCACCTACCCCTGGACCTCTCGGCACCTTTCCACGGGCCAACTTTGCACATCCCAAGTCGTCTCTTATGAGCAGGGGCCGATCGTCCCGGCATTCCTATAGGCCTACCACGACATGTTCTGAGAACCCCAGAATTTTCGAATAACAGAAACAATGCTCCAAGAGCAGAAACCCGCAGCGTTAAAACAAAACAATGTCGGCCAGAAATGGTCTAAGAATATCTCGGGCAAACCACAAAAGGATCTCAGAACATCCGCTGGTGGGCCTATAGGCAAGCCGCGACGCTTTGCCACTGCTTGACTCTGGGCGGCCCTGTGGCCTGACTATGGGCCTCTGGTGGCGCAAAACGGATGGGATGGGGGGGGGACGAGGGCACTGCAATATTGTGGAACATCAGCATGGCGGGAGCCCCAGACCCCATCTCTCGCCATCGCTCGGACGTCTACTCCCCGCGCATGTTTCGATTTCGTGCGCTCAGCTTTTCTCGCAAGATGATCCGAATTGCTCCTCGATGGTCCCCGACAGAGAAAAAGTGCCCCCATCCGAGCGATGCCAAAATCCATCTGAAACATGCCCTTTGTACCGAATCTTTTGCTGCATGTCTCGAGCCGGCTCCATCCGTGAGGTTCCCCAGGTCCGAGTCCTGATGAGAACGCTCAGATTAGGAAAATGCGACGCCAGGATCTCAGGGTCTCCATCTTTCCGGGCCGCCAGATGACTAGGTGCTGACATGCCAACTCGTGACCACGTCACGAACCATACCAAACCTTTGGACAGAATCGCGCCGCAGCGCCACCGTTTCCGAGCGCTCCTCGCGCTGTAGTGGCTGAAAAGGTCCCTGCCATCCATGGGCCTGCGTGGGCGCCGAGATGGCAGACCTTCCTCTTCCTCCACCAACACGTTCTCCTCAATCCCCTCTGCCGTCTCCTCCATTCACTCTCGCGAACTGGCAGAAGTCCAGTGAGAGGCGACCAGGATGCAAGGCAGGGGTCAGAAGCGAGATAGAGAGCGAGATAGAGGAGGACGAGAGAGAAGCAGAGGAGGACGATATAGATGAGGCGAGGAAGGGAGAGTAGAGGCGAGGGAGGAGGACAGGATGAGAGGAAGAGAGGAGAGGAGGACAGAAGGGGAGGAAGGGGCTAGGAGGAGAGAGGGGAAAGGAAATATAGAAAGTGAAGTAATAGCGGCAGGGAAGGGCGATAGCGGCAGGGAAGGATAGAGGGGGGATACGCACAAGGGGACGAGGACTGCAGACAGGAGAGCGTGAGACCCCTCAGGGCGATCGCGAGGAGAACAATGTATGTGGAAAGTTCGGCGGGCAATGGGTACAAGCGCAATAGGTTTGTTTCCCACGAGCGCCACTTTGCAGTGTCAGCCTTCCCGCTAGGCACCGCTACAGGCACTGGTATCTCAAGGAATCCACGCCTGCGCAAGGCTGGACGACGCCCAGGAGGACGATCACGACAACGAGGACGAGTGCTGCTTCCCACGCTGGTGGGCTGAACGATCGCCTCCACGCCTCAACGCTGGTATCACGCTCCCGCCCCTTGAGAACTGCGGAAAGCAACATCTGGTGCAGGGGAGCTCCGCGGGCGTCCGCACCACCTGGAGGCCCCCCAAAGGGGGTCCAAGGCAGATGGGGTTGGAGGGTCGCGCCGCATCGCCGATTCATCGGCGATACATCGGCAACGCATCTGTGCTGCCTAACTTGGCGCATTGCATCCCGCGAGGCGCGACGCGCGATTCTCCTCGCGCCCTCGCGCCCTCTCCCTTGGACCGGGGCAGCCGCTCTGGCTCCTGGCCCAGAGCGCGGCGCGCGAGGCGCGATGCCCTTCGCGCCCCCGCGGGTGGCCGAGGCGCCTCGGTGGCGTCGGCGCGGAGAAGATCTGGTGGGCATGTTTTCCACCACCACCACCATAAGTTGGAGGGAGGAGGAGGAGGAGGAGGAGGAGGAGGAGGAGGAGGAGGAGGAGGAGGAGGAGGAGGAGGAGGAGGAGGAGGAGGACCCCCCCTCTCCAACTCATGGTGGTGGTGGTGGTGGGAAACACGCCCATCAAGATCGGGCTGCACATCGCGCAGCATCGCCGATGCCTCGGCGATGCGGCGTGAGCCAAAGGGCCCTCTCTGCTCCGACCACGCCCGGGAGGCTCGCGGTCACCGCCCTGCCACGGGGGATCGCCCCCTGGGGAGGCGGCGGGCTCGGGAGCCCCGTCTCCGGGGAAAAATGACGCCGGTGGTCCTTCGGCAGAGGCTTGCGGCAGACTCGCGCGAGGGCGCGCCGCGCTCTGCTGCCGGCCGCAGCGTTGGGCATGCCAGCCCGCACCTGCGTCCGCCTCGAGAGGGAGGGAGTCGGAGTGTCTCGATTTGTACACCACGTCGTGTGGTCGGCCCAAGGAGCTCGGCGTAATGACGCCCCAGCGGCCCAACCTGTGAGACGCTAGAGCGTCTGCGCACCGAATTTCTGCGACGAGCTCCTTGGCCCCCTGGACGGCCAAACGACGCGGTGCATGCATCGAGACCCCCAGGAGAAGAGCTGTCGAGGGAAGAAGAGGGTGTGAGAGCCCATGCTTGGGTACCCGATGCAAGCGCCGGCTGCGTCTGCCTGGCAGGCCAACTCAGGCCCTCGCCCTCACTGCTGGTTCTCGCCGCTCTGCGCGAATCCACCCACCTGCTGCCAGACGCGCGCGCCTGGCATGTCTGCCTCGCTTCCCAAGCGCTTGTCCATCTGCTGCCGAGTGTACACATCATCGATACTCGCTTTGCGGGCCAATAGCTCGTCAACCTGCCACTGATTGTAGGTGTTGGCTGCGTCTGCCTTGCGAGCCAGAAGCTCAACCAACTGCTGACAGTTGTAGGTGTTCGTCGCGTCGGCTTTGCCCACGAGAAGTCCTCGCACCTGCACTTGAGTGTAAGCGTTCGCCGAGTCCGCCTTTCCAGCCAAACGCTCGTCGATCTGATGCTGATTGTACGTGTTCGTCACGTCCACCTTGCTCACCAAGAGTTCATCCACCTGCTGCTGGGTATAAGTGATGGCTGCGTCTGCCTTTCGAGCCAAGAGTTCGTCCACAAAAGTACTCCTGTAGGTGTT